TATTTACTACATATTAAATATATTAAATCGCTTCTCAAAAAAGGTGTTCAACAGTTTTCCATTTCGTTCATTTCACTAATTTATGGGAAACTAGATTCCATTAGGCGTATTTAAAAGAGGATACAAAAAAAAGACAGCTATTTTAATTAAAACTTTAGAAACCATCAAATTGATTTATTTTCAACATATGATTCAAATCATCTTTAAATGTCGAGTGACTTTGATAAACAAATTAGGATTTTGGTGTAGAAAATATTCCAATACATTAAACAGGAACCTTTCTTAATTGGTATAGTAGTCACAACAGTTAATGTTAAAATTGAATAAACCCTATGTGTAACAATTAGAATAAAGAAGCGGATATGGTCGGAAAAAAACTGAAGTATCATTTAAGAACTACTAGTGCCTTTAAATTCACTTGGTTTAACTTGTTTGAATCTTCCCATTGATGTTTTTAGGACTGCAACTGGTCAGTCTTCTTTTGGCATATGTGCATACTGTGCGTATTGCCTCGATATAGCCATATTTCACAAGCATTGTAAGCAAAGATGGATAATGGCTAGCAGTGGAATTCAAGACGTGCGTTTCATCCTGTTTGATACTCGTCAGCTGGATGTACCTGCATCTCAGAGTTGACGTTCACACTGGGACTTGAACCCAGTACCTTTCGCTTCAAACGCCATCGCGTTATCCAATCACCTACTGAATCCTGATAGCCACTTGCTTGTGAAATGAATCTAACTAAACTGTTTACTAGTGCTTAAACATATTTATGTGACAACTAATTCTACTTACCTTAAATTAATCTAAAACACGTGACATAAAAAAATGTTGTGCACTGTTAATAACATTCATCCATAGTTCACATTAATTTCTTTAAAAAAGTATTAAGTGTTTTCATTTTAAAAATTCTCATACATATTAGTAAAGGTGTTGACCTGGATTCCACTGCTAGCCACTTTCCATCTTTGCTTACAATGCTTGTGAAATATGGCTATATCGAGGCAATACGCACAGTATGCACATATGCCAAAAGAAGACTGACCAGTTGCAGTCCTAAACATCAATGGGAAGATTCAAACAAGTAACACTAAATGAATTTAAACTTTACTCCATTGTACAAGCAAGTGGCTATCAGGATTCAGTAGCTGATTGGATAACGCGATGGCGTTTGAAGTGAACGATATTGGGTTCAAGTCCCAGAGTGAATATCAACTCTGAGATGCAGGTACATCCAGCTGACGAGTATCAAGCAGGATGAAACGCGCGTCTTGAATTCCACTGCTAGCCACTATCCATCTTTACTAGTGACTTTATTTAATTTAATGTTGTCGTTTCAACTCACATACATTTTATGGAGAAAAAAACAAACAATAGCTTAGAAAGAAAAGGAAACTACTTAGCAAATGATACTAAGTAGTAGGATAAGACAGGCAAATAAATATTCATAATATATAGCCGTTGTATTCTTGAGTATAAAAAATAGATCAATAATTAGTTTTAATTACGATTATGATCAGGTTAACATACACTTATTAAAGAATGAAGATTAGCCAATTCAGTGTTTTCAATTGAGATCAACCACATATATCATTGAATATTCACTAACCCTTCCAGTTATTTTTCCATTCATTTAGTGAGATCAAATTTCCAGCAAATAATTCATTTCAAGTAACTGTAAAACCATATATGAGTAAAATCAATCTAGAGCGGTCCGACTATTGAATGAAAAATACAGACGTACGAAAATTTGAGGCTTAGAATGAAATCATTGATGGAGATTACCCTCTACTTCGCAGCCCCAAAATGCCCTGGTACGGAAGAGAGTGGGGAGAGTCCTCTCTCCCTCTCCAAATGCTACCACATGGTCACGCGTATATAGCCTCTGTCAAGGAAGCCCTACTCACTGCCTTCTCGCACCACGGGTTGTGTTTACGAAATTAAGAGGATGAAAAGCGAATATCCGACGTTTTAACCGGGTTGGTGGACACGGAAAATTCACCTAGGATAGTTGGAAAACCCTGATTCCAAATCAATGGTGCACATGGGCTCCAATATCCTGATGGAACAAATGGCGTATGAATCAATAGTTGGTCACCGGCTACCATGAGACAGCATCTCCTCACGATGCTCCACTGCCTTATGGATCAGGCCTTCAGGTCAAAGGCTCCGGGTATGGCCCCCTAAGTAAAACACCTGCTTCAGTTTGAGCACTTGTGCAGTATCACAGCCCTCACATAAATCAAATAAGATTTATGTGGCGCATATATATGTGGTGCCCCTTAGTACCAATATTTATGTGTTTAAATAAAATAAAGTATTTAAACTAACGGCTATACACAATCAGCTTTATTTAAAAAGTATGGACGGCCGTTTCGTCCTCGTGCTTCCAGGTTTTCCCTAGTGGTCTAGCTTCAATTGGCTCACGCTTTCAACTATGAAAATAATTCATTATTTACCGTTTAAGAACTGAAAGCTGAACTTGTCATCCCGGGTGCCCAGACCAAAGCAGGTGGTTTTCTCATGCAGCCACACACGAAGCCTTTGACCTATAGGTCTCATCCACAAGACAGTTGAGCAACGTCAGGAGATGCAGTCTCATGGTAGACGGTAACCAATGATTCATTCATACGCCATTTGTTCCATCAGGATACTGGAGCCCATGTGCATCATTGGTTTGGAATTAGGGTTTTCCAACTCCCTTAGGTGGACTCGCCGTGTCCACCAACCCGGTTAAAGCACTGGACATTGGCTTTTCGTCCTCTCAATTTCGTAAACAACAATAATGCGACTGTGAGAAGGCAGTGAGTAGGACTTCACTGGCAGAGGCTATGTACGCGTGACAATGTGATAGCATTTGTAGAGGGAGAGCGAACTCTCCCCACTCTCTTCCGTACCAGGGCATTTGGGGGCTGAGATTCATTAATGTTAGTTAGTTACTTATATAGATGTAAGGTTCGAGCTTTTTCCACATGATTAGTTAAGATTTAACTGATTTAATTACTAAGCTACCTTTTAAGTCTGTTCAAAATGTTTATTATTATTGATTAATTTTTTTCAAGCTACATCAGGATTGATGTTATTCTCAGTCAACTTAGAGTAAAACCTATCATATCTGTATTACAGTGTATCATTTGGTGAATTGAAAAGATCATGAACAATAATTAGATGATAGTATTCTTCATGAATTGATATATCATGTAAAACTACTGAGAACTATGGAGAACCATATTGATAGTTTGCCATACTGTCGGCTATCATAATACTGAGGATTCAACAGGTCTATTATATCACAAATTGCTTGGAGTTAGAAAACCTGTTTCATAGATTTCTGAATTAGTAAGTAATACCATTGTGGTTTCTTTGAGTCTTGAGATCCGTGAATTAGATTTCATGTGATATCTTACTTAGTTACTCACGCCTGTTACTCTCAATGGAGCATAGGCCGCCGACCAGCACTCTCCAACCCACTCTGTCCTGGACCTTATTTTCTAGTTCTATCCAGTTTTTGTTCATTCTTCTCATGTCTATCTCCGCCTATTGCTCCTCCGGAGGCTACTGCCGGTCCCAAGCCCGGGTAAAGGAGGAGGGTTGGGCATGAGGTTAGCGACCCCATCCCGTAGAAAACCAACTCGCTAAAAATCGCTAAGCAGAAAAAATATGATATCTTAGGTATACATTATTGAAGAGTACCAAACTAAAATTGAATATTTATCAAGCTCCCACTAGTTTTAATTTTCCTAAATCCTTGTTTAGAAATATTTTAGAATAAATATAATTTCCACAAACCATTCCACTAAATAATTGCCAGGAAAGCCTAAATTCATTCCGTTTTCTTTCTTTTATCCATAAATATTTGTTCTGATGTGTAAGGAAGACAATGGTAATATTTCTCTCATTCATAATTCTTCACTAACCTTTGTTGTTATCTGATTGGTTATCCTAGTTTTCAGTTCGCTATTTTTCCTATATGTCTCAAGGGTATATTCATTACTATACAAAGAGAGTTATTCTAATACAATTTTGACTTCTTGAATAGTAAGGTTTTTCCTGAGACCGTTGAAGTGTTGTGTATCAACAATCTGATCGAATTAGTTGGTATAGATCTCTTTCGTATTAGAAGAATCACCACAATCGTTCGGAATCACAAGCTATCATAAAATATTGGTCGGCGGCCTATGCTTCATTGGGAGTAACAAGCGTAAATAAGTAAGTAAGTAATTATAAAATATGAAAACGACGAACCAGTATGGCTGACATCGGTTTTAATGATTATTAAACAATTTAAAAAAACTCATGATGAAAAACAGTTCAAAGAACTTTTGTTTATAACACATGTAGTCGAGATAAGGATTCAAATAAATGTCATCAGCTTGCACTGTTTGTAATTATACACATATGTTGGTTGACTAACATGCTGATTAGTGGGTGTTATGTAATATATATGTTACATCATAAAGAGAATAGAAAATGTACAAAAAGGTACTATCCAAACTAATCACAATATGACCATGAAGATGAAGATGCCTAGGAAACATTCCAATCTAAAGTTGGCATAAAAATACTAGTCATTATACTACTCAATTTAGTAGTTGATTTAAAATGTATCCATAGGTATAAGGAAAGGGGTAAATGAAAGTGAAGAGATATCAATTCATTTAAAAGTAATATTCATTTGAGAATTGTTCAACAACAACACACAATCGATTACTTTTATATAGTTAATGTATACATATATGTGATCTTGCACCTTCCTATGCTTAAATATATATTTACATACAGAATTTTGTGTCGTATTGCTCATTCGTTGAAGTTAATCAACATTCAAATTAGATAATTTGTAATGAATTCTTTCCATTGTTCATAAATAGAAGAGAAATAGAAAATGGAGAAAATAGCTTAAATAGATCTCTAAAATACCGGAGAATTCTTTCAGTTCATGTATCATCTATGTACACAAGTGTTTACATATACATATATATATATATATATGCATAATTCCTGGAAATAAGTGAATTGTATCAGAAATAACAGTAGTAGAATCATTTCAGATTGGAATAAGTGTATCATTATTATAATTATTATGATTATCATTAATACTATTAGTATTTTGTTTAAAATGTTGTTCAACAGTATCCTTTTGAAATTCCGATAATATTAATGATGTTGTACATGGTATATATGAAGATAATTCAGTTGTTGAAATAGTTGCATCAGAATTTTGTGAAGAAAACACTACTGATGGATTGGTAGACAAGGGAAATAATGTAGATGTTAAATTATTTAATGGTTGAGTTGAATTAAGGTTACCTAAAGAATTCATCAATGTTGATAATTGCATTGCAGAAGGAATAAATTTTGAAAATGTTGATGAATTTAATAGAGAATTTGATAAATTCATTGTTTGATTAAAAAGATTATCTGAAAATAGTCGTTTTAATAAAAAAGAATTGAAATCATTCATATTCTGTTGATTAAATGTTTGTATTAATGATGATGAGGAGGATGTAGACGGTGAAATTGATTGTTGTTGGCCAAAAGAATTGAATGTTGAACAGTAAAACATATTGACAAGATCTTGTGCCAATTTCTCTTTATCTCCTGATATAGATGGAAATGTTGATAATGATGAAGAAGTGGAAGTTGAAGTACAACAAGAAATTGATGTTGATGATACAACTGGTAATGAAGATGTCATTGATGAAAGAGAGGATGAAATTGATCCTGCTAATTCATTTGTCAATATTGACTGATATAAATGAGAATCGTTTTTCGATATACAATCTAACATTGTATTAACTCTACTGGGATCAGCAGCGTTCATAACGGGGTGTAACAACGGTTTTGGGTTATCTGTTAAAATGTATAAATTTAAAATTAAAAAAAATTCGTGATCAAAATTTAAAAGGAGAAAAATATGAGAAACTAAGAAGTTTACTGTTCAACAAATGAAACACTAGTTGCCATTTACATTCAACCTTCTGATTAAACAGACAATGATAGAATTTCAACTGGTAATGTTAGATGATTTCACTAGTTCATCATAATTGAAACTACTTTCCTAAGATATGAATATTTTTTTCTATCATTCAGTGAAAAGTCTGTACAGAGACATTAAGAGTATAATGAGAAATTATGGAAGATTTTTGAAAAGGTTTTTCCTCATCAACAGGTTACCTTGTAAAGTGTTTTATTTCAAAAGTATTTATTATTGATGTATGAAAATGAACAAAGCATAAGTATTCTCTGCTAATGGGCATATTTATCTACATAGTTGAAATCAATTGACAGGAAGCCAATAAACTAGATTTTATCCAACTTAGCATTCCTCAGGAAGTCATTTCAACAATCTTTGTTATTTGATAAGATATTGGCTGATTTTCAGTAACCTATTTCTATGAACATGCCAGTTTTATCAAATCTTTAGCTCCAGAGTCTTATATTTCTTTATAAATTTCCTGCCTTCTGAAGATCATTGAGGGATTCTCAGAGTATCCTAACATACACATATGACCGTATGACCATTTCTCGACTTACTTTATAAAAACCTAGTGTCAAATATGGTCAGTTTTTATAAACATTACGTTGTAAAATTCAAGTAAAACTGATGGTTAACATAGCATGATGATATTATGTTATTGACTGCCCATTGTGCAACCAATGTATTTCATCTGACCTTAACAGTTAAGACGTGAATATCTCACTTTCAAAGTATATGCCCGGTGTGTTTAACTGGAAGGATAACAGACAAAACACCCAACTTTCAAAACAATTAATGACAAGCTTCACCCTTTTTCCATGTATTCCAAAAATGTACAACAGATTCTACACTTAAGTTGAATTACTAAAGAGGTTTGAATTTATACGTGTATTTAAACCTAATAAGAAATATGAGATGGTCTCTAGTCAAATGGATTTGATCACCATCACAAAGGATTGATTGATATTAAAATATTGATTATAACTAGTTAACAACTTATCAGTCTACATACAAGACTATAGCTTGCCAACTAAATTATCTTTGAAATAATATAATTAATCATTCAAAAAGCAATTTTTATGGTGAAATCTTGTATAAACTTGAATAGTTACACAGGCAAAAAAACAAATCTCATCATATCATTAACATAAAGAAAAAAAACGATGGTAAAATCATCATACAGAATCAACTAAATCTAAAAACTTTCAGCGCTTATTTTTAAACGTCAAATTAGCTTTAAATTATTTTTCTCTACTCATTGTGTTTTCATTCTCACCCTTCCTCTATCTTTTATACAGTTTTGTCTATTGTAGGTGACTGACTGACTGACTTGAGATACTTCTCTTTTTTTCTCGTAAGTACAACAGAGATTGTAATCTGTCACTCAAAACACCACTATTATTATTATTATTATACACCATAATTGAAGCAGAAAGATGGTTACCTAGTAATAAATAAATAAAAAACACCATATCAATCAGTCACATGGGTAACCATTAGAACTTGTTAGTATTGTGTACTTTTGTCATTGATTCATTATTATATTGAAAGGATTGCTGAATTACTGATAACACCATTGAAATATATGGCGGCTAATAATAACATTTATTATTATTATTATTATTATTATTATTATTATTATTATTATTGTAGTAGTACATTATGTATACAAATATAGTTGTATACACATGTAATTAACTAAGCAAGTGTATAGTTCAAAATAGCACTACTATTGACTAGTGCCAAGAGTAGTATATTATGATTTAGTTCACCGCCTACATGCTTTAAGATAATTTATACATCTGAGTAGAAAATACATATTCCCAGATATATGTATAGTAATTTAAATGATGGTCTATCAGTTAAGTGCTCGCGCGCGAAACTGATAGGTCCTGGGTTCGAATCTCGTGAGGCGAGGTCATGAATGCGCACTGCTGAGGAGTTTCACAATAGGACGAAACGGCCGTCAAGCAGTGCTTCGAGGTTTTCCATGGTAGTCTAGCTTCAATTGACTCATGATTTCAACTATGAAAAATACTGAAATCTCCACAAAACCCCTTCTGATTAATTATTACTCATATTGCATAGGTAATAATATAAATTACTCCTGTAGGCAGTAATTATTTCTTATAAAAAATGTCAAACCGATGACAAATCTCTAAGAAAAAATCAATGTTTAATTTGTATAAATTGGACTGATTCCAAAATATACACTCACAGCACAACTCTGATTATCTGATATGAGTTTAGTAAATATTAAGACTTTTGTATAAAAAATAAAAGAGAGTAAATAATATTTATTAGAAGATGATAGATGTATACAATGGTTAGTGTACTAAAACTTTATGGGTGTGGTCAGTAAAGTACATGAAACAGTTGATGTTGAAATTTGACTAAACACTAAATCCATTGTATTTCTCCTTATTATATTTATTTATTATTATTTAAACACAGAAATATTGGTACAAAGGGGCATCAGATATACATACGCCACGCAAATCTCATTTGATTTGTTTGAGGGCTGTAATACTAACCGGGTGCCCAAACTGAGGCAGGTGGTTTTCTCATGCAGCCACACCTGAAGCCTTTGACCTAATGATCTCATCCATAAGGCAGTGGAGCATCGTGAGGAGATGTAGTCACATGGTAGCAGGTGATCAACGATTGATTCATACGCCATTTGTTCCCTCAGAATACTGGAACCCATGTGCACCATTGGTTTGGAATCAGAGTTTTCCAACTATCCTAAATGGACGTTCTGTGTCCACCAACCCGGTTAAAGCACTGGACATTCGTTTATCGTCCTCTCAATTTCGTAAACAACAGTAATACCATTGTGAGAAGGCATTGAGTAAGACTTCCCTGACAGAGGTTATATACACATGACCATGTGAGAGCATTTGGTGAAGGAGAGCGAACTCTCCTCACTTTCGGCCGTACCACTACTAACACTACCATTATTACGATTATTATTAGTATCATTTACTTGAAACGTAATCATCATTATTGTTATCATTAGTTTATTTTTATAATCATTATTAATAATTTAATTTATCCAAGAAATTTGCATAAAACAAAAATGAAATTTAATATTAAAATTATCTATTTAAAAAAAATTAATTATTAAGTTACTTTCAATCGCTTCTAGTTAGGGTATAGACAATATATATTTTTAAAAAAAGTCAAGTTTATAAAAGTCGATGTATAAACACACACACACACACAACATACAGATAGATAGATAGACACATACATAATTAGATAGACAGACAGACACTTTAAATTGTCACTAACTTAAATAATACATGTTTTGTTTTGTTCTTGTTAATCTCTTTTATATTACTTACTTATATACCCATGTATCATTAACACAGCTAGCTAGCTAGATAGATAGATAGATAGATAGATAGATGATTATCTCTTTAATTGTTTTAAAATGAAACTTTTTAATTATCATTTTATTCAATGATGGTGTAAACACTATTAGCTACTAATTCATGCTTGACATTTTTTTTAATAATTTATATTTAAATCATGTGTATAAAGTCATTAGTTTATGCAAATGATATTGAAATATAGATAGTATGTATATGTATTCAGTCAAGTTTTCTTTTTGAATTAATTCAGATTATAATAACTTGAATGGTATACTATGAAGTCATTTTAAAAAAAGAAAAAAGAAAAGAAAAAAATAAGAAAAGAAAAGAAAAGAAAAGAAAAATAGAAAAAAAGAAGTAAAGAAGAGAAAAGAAAAAAAAGAAAGAAAAAAAGATGTTGAATAAAATAACGGTTAATATGAACTACATAGGATTGTTCAAAACTTCATAATATATACGCACTGACTAGTCATGGTTTATTGTCATGTTAATTGTTGCTATTAATGAAGGGTTAAGAAAAAGTTATTGGAAAGATTAGTTAGATTAAATAAGGTTCCAAACTGTTTTGTTTTCTTTCTTTCTTTCTTTTTTTTTATCAATATAAGTAATTTCATAAATTAAGATGGTTAATTTTATCATAGTCATTTTGTAAACGTATTTGTTATTAGTTATTATGAAAGGGGTGAAGTATTAAGCTTGAAAACGGTCTTTTTTATAAAGTTCAATATGTTTTGGTATATTGTTTGTTTAACTAAGATAATAAAAAATTGATAAATCTGTTTATTTACTTCTATGCAAATTTTCTATTTCAGTTTAAGGTGATAAACTAGTTATTTCATTGTAATATCTAAAGAATATGAGGTGTTTGTTAAAAAGGATAATTGTTAAGTATATAATTGTAATCTCAATACGATACATTTGAGTTCTTTGTGCTATCTTCATTTCTGATCCAGTAGTGAATATAAGTGTGCACTAGTTATTATTATTACTATTAATATTAGTAGTAGGAGTAGTTTTCATATTATACTTAATACTACTAATAGTTCGAAACATCCAAGAATAAATACTAGGATTTAAGCTGCCCCCAAAAGCCCTGATACGGCTGAGAGTGGGGAGAGTCTTCTCTCCCTCTCCAAATGCTTTCACATGACCATGCGTATATAGCTTCTGCGAGGAAAGTCCTACTCACTGCATTCTTACAGTGGCATTACTGTTGTTTATGAAATTGAAAGAACGAAAAGCGAATGTCCGATGCTTTAACCGGGTTGGTGGACACTTCGAGTCCACCTAGGGGAGTTGGAAAACCCTAATTCCAAACCAATGATGTACATGGGCTCCAATATCCTGATGGAACAAATAGCGTATGAATGAATCGTTGGTCACCGTCTACCATGAGACTGCATTTCCTTACAATGCTTTGTTGCCTTATGGATGAGATCATTAGGTCAAAGGCTTCGGGTGTGGACCCCTAAGAAAACCACGTGTTTCGGTTTGGG